AAGGAGTCGGAACCCTACATATCAGGGCACAGGAACCTTGGCCCACACAGCCCAGCAGAATGAGGACAAGCTCCCTTAGGACAGAGCATTAGATTTGTTGTGGTTCGTATGACACTACGCAGTCACAATGAAGTCCTTTTGAAGAAGGGAACACATCTAATTCAGTCAGTGAGCTCTTAATCTCTGTTTAAAATCTAGCAGGGGACTTTCAAGCAAAAACAGTGCTATTGCCACACACTTCAGGAGACAAGCAGTGTGACCTCTTGCAATTACTGTATCAACAGTGGGAGCATGTGATCCCAATGTCAGTGAGTGAAAGCACTGTGGTTCTCCTGCCAGCCGTCAGGTAGAAATAAGTTAGAGAATGAGGTGAAGTGTCCACCTCCACCTAACCAGCAGCTGCTGGTTGGTGACACCTACTGCTGCCCTGAGCTCCTGCAAGGTGGGGCCACATTGATAAGAGAAGAAAGGGACATTTGGGGTGGGGATTGGACAATGCTTTGGGAGCAAGAGTAGAGTGTCACATCAGTGTCATTTTCAGGGGAAAACTGCCTGGGAAAGTCACGTCTGTGGAAGGACATTTGAGGCTATGAGAAAATGCTTGGTGTTCAGCATAAAGTGAAAAAGGCGACCGAACTGTACATGTGGAAAAATCCCAACAATGGAGAGGAAACAGCACCAGTATGCACACATATGTGTACTGCGTGTGACCTCAATTATCTGTGTGATTCTGTTTCCTGAGCTTTTGACAATGCATTTAAAAAGCAGCTCAGAGATGTGCAGACTCAGTGAAGGGCAGTCTGCCAAGGCCCAAGTCGGGGTGCAAGGCCCATGCTTTCCTAGATTGGCCCCAGGAGGACAGCCCAACAGCTTTAGGGCTGGGCTCCACTGCCCTGACCTCCCCCCACTGCCTATGGTGCTATGGGAACATCTTACCTGCTCTGTTAAAGCTCTTTGTGTAATTAGAATTATATTTTAATCTGTTTTAAATTACAAAACTAATCATTGTTCTTCCTAAAAATAGTCAAACTACCCAGAAGTACACAATGCAGAAGCCTTGAGTCCCTAAGTCTCTGGGTGGATGACTTGGGTCATCCTTCGAGCAAGTGCTGGACTCACAGGGTTTCAGGGAGTCACAGAGCCTGGGAGAGCAATCTGCAGTCTGCTTACCACACAGACTGTGTCTCGGAATCCCTGCCACGTCCACACAGACAGGTGCAGCTCAATGTCCAAGCGGCTTTGTAGTATTCTATTACATGGAGGTATAATTTTAATGGTCTACTAATGCCCTTTTTCGGTTTTTAACTTTTTGCTATTAAAAACAATGTTGTAGCCAGGTGAGGGTGTGCACACCTGTATTTCCAGCACTCTGGGAGGCTGAGGCAGGCAGATTACAAATTCAACCCCAAACTTGAGCAACTTAATGATTTAGTGACACTCTGGGAGGGGAAAAAAAAAAAAAAAAAAAAAGGTGGGATGCACCTCAATGGGAAAGCCCTGAGCTCAATCCCCAGAACCATGTTTAAAAAAAAAAAAAAAAAAGTAATGAACACCTTTAGCTATGTATCATTTACACGTGTACTTGAGGTTGTAAGAATCTATCCCTTAGATGCCTAGTGTGGTAGCCCACACCCATAATCCCAGAACCTGAGAGGCTGAGGCAAGTGGATCTCAACTTTGAGCAATTCAGTAAGACTAGTCTACTGACCTGTAAGACTGCTGATCACCAATTGATAAAGCTAGTCAAACTCATGACAGTTGTATTTTTGGGTACTCAGTCTTACCAACTGATAGGTGTACTGGCTATACTTTTGTTATCTGGTAAACGTTTCAGTTTTTTAATGCATCTTTGAAGCAGTTAAGAGTTTGGGGTTCTATGTACTATTTGAAGTCCAGTCTTCACTTTGTAACTACTTTCAGTTTACTTGTTAAGGAGACTTGGAAAAAGTTCCTAGTGCATTTTATTACACAAACAATTTAATAAAAACATCCTTATAACTACCATTTGGAAAAGTAGGAATACATGATAAAACATGGTCCCTTCCTTCTATAGTTTAGAAAACATCTTTCCCTGTCTCTCTGTCTCTGACTGAGGCATCAAAGATTTAACACAGAACCTCTGGATGTCAAGTAAGGGCTTCACCACTGAGCTGGATCCCCAGCCCTTTTAAATTTTAACCAGAGACAGGTCTTGCTAAGTTTCCCAGGCTGGCCTTGAATTTTGCAATCTTCTGCCTCAACCTCCTGAATAGCCGGGATTATACATGTACCACCATGCTTTGATAAAGATCTAATCAATGTAAAGGATAAAGCCCTACACGTCCCTAAGTCCTAAGGCTGGGGCTGCTACCAAGTGTTATAGCAACACAGATGTGAAGGAGCTTGCTTTCAACCATGGCATCAACAGTCTGTCACTTCGAGCTGCACATACGAGTCTGTTTCCACTGACCTGGTGGGGTCAGAGGAAAACAACGATTCACTACTGAACGGCTTTCTGCCTGCCTACCGCTATGTGGTGGGAGGCTCTACAGGGCCCTCCCAGGCCACAGAGGAACCCATAGAGGAACATACAGGACCAGAGTCTGTGCTGACCTGGGAGTGGCAGGTGTGGCGCTAGGACCAAGCCAAGCCAGCAGACTCCTCAGAGAGCTTTCTCACTGCACCTTCCTGTGCCTGGAAGGCTGGCTCAGCAAATGCCTGGGAAGGGAAGCTAATCCTCTGGGAAAGCCCCAGATCTTTTTTTGTTTTTGTTTTTTTTTTTTTTTGGTGGTACTGGGGATTCAACCCAGGACCTACCTTTAATTTGGTATCGGTCTTGCTAAGTTGCTGAATTGCCCATGCTGGGCTGAATTTGTGATTCTCCTGTCTTAGACTCCCAGAGTGCTGAGATTACAGTTGCGTATCACTTTTAAGTTTAAGACAGATGTGCTTTGGATCATCTGGTGGTTATTCCATTTCATCACATGTAGAAGAGCGGGCCAGTTTGAAGAACTTCAAGAGAAGCTGCTCATTAGCATTCTAAGAAATCACCACTACTACCCATCACTGTGGCCATCAGATTTCTCAGTCATCTGATTTCATGAGTATAAGACAGACTCAGGAATTAAATGTCTGTTAATATTAAACTTCAGTTCACTTCTAAATGGGCCATACCACAGTTCTATAGGACAGGTCTATCTCCTTCCCCAGGGTCTCACCGCCTCCCAGTGATGCTCAGTTATATGGGTAGCTTTTGCTTACAGCATAGTAATTCCAGAATTTGTCTCTTTCTTCTCTTAACCAGAAGGTCTCAATGATCAGAAAAGGGCACTTTCCTCCCTCTGCATGGTGACAATGCACCTGAAGGTAAGCGAGGCGAGCCCGACTTCTGAGATCCTCTCCTGCTGACCACAGCTGAGCCACAAGCCTAAGGGATGCTGGGGCTGTGTGTGGCACATTGCAGCCACCGCCATTCTGCATGTCCAGGTTCGGGTGGGCCAGGCTTTCACTGTATTTCCTTCTGCCACTAATTAATTTTAAACTGAAGTTCTTTCTTTTTCACAGTATTGAGAATAGAGCCCATGGCATGATGCACACCAGCAAGTGTCTCAGTACTGAGCTACATACCCAGTACTTTGTAAAAGTTTATGGAGACAGGTCTTGCCAAGTTTTCCAGGCTGGCCTTGAACTTTGTGATCCTCTTGTCTCAGCCTCTTGAGTAACTTAAATCTTAATTTTTATTTATTTATTTTTTTAGTTTGTATTTATTTATTTATTTTTGGTACCAGGGATTGAACTCAGGACCTTGCACTTACCAGGCAAGCACTTGAACCACTGAACCAAATCCCCAGCCCAAAGCTTAATTTTTAAATAGCTTCAATTAATACTAAACTGAACATTTCATAACTTTTTAACTATTTGACCTCAGTTGGCCACTTAAGTGGATCCCAATTTTCACTATTATAAATAACGTAGAGACTATCTTAGCAAATCAGTTACTGGGCCAAAGGGAGCAGCTGCTTATGGCTTTAGATACTTATTGTCAAAGGGCTTCACAGAAAAGTCAGAACATTTTATACTCTTAGAGCCATCTAAGAAACAAAGACGTGATCTCCTGTCCCTTGTTGGCACAGGGGCAGACAATAAATCAGAGTATTATTATTGGCCTTGGGTACTGCCAATGATTATCTTGCATTTTTACTGAGAAAAATCTGTGTTTACTATGGGGAAAGAAGAAATCAAGAGGAAGTTGTAAGATAGAATCTAAATACTCTCCACAGAAGTTCTTAGTCATTCAGTCTAATACACAATTAAGCAGCTGGGTATGGTGGTGCATGCCTATAATCCCGGCACTCAGGAAGGCTGAGGCAGGAGCATTGTTTCATGTTCAAGACCAACCTGGGCTACAAAGTGTGCTCACAACCAGCCTGAACTGCACAGGGAGAGCCTGTCTCGAATCTGCAGCCACAGAGCTGTTGTGTCCCTAGGACACACACCAGGCTATGGCTGTGGCAGATGAGACCCAAAGGCAGCGTTGCTGAACAAGCCCGAGTGTGCGGCGCCAGCCCAGAGTGCTGGGCCACCAAGTACAGCCCTGAATCCAGGCCTGGTACCCACCTTCAGGGAAGTCAAGAGACCCTGCTGATGAGGGCCAAGTGATAAATGTGAGGAGCCCTGGAGAGGCAGCTTTCCTCAGTTTCACCATCATGACAGCAACTTGGTGCCACCCTCCAGCAGCCACTGATGCCACATGATGGGAGTATAGAACCCAAAGATAAAGCTAACAGGGCCACAGAAGTCTCTCCAAAGTGCTGATCATCAGCTTGGGCCACAGCCTCCACCTGAGCTAATGGAGCCTCCAGTGAGACAGAGGACAAGTGGTAAATGCGAGGAATAGAGGGGTCAGCACGAGGCCAATGTTAGGGACTCATGGGGAAGAAGGGAAGAGCTGAGATTGAGGCTGTGGACCCTGGGTGCTGGTCCACCTCACTGGGTCCCACTGAGTCCACTTCAGGACATACCTTCATGACGGGCTGGGCAAAGTACCGGGCACTCCAGTCACAGAACCCTGTCTGCATGGTGGCACAGATGAAGCTTTTATGTCCTGCAGTATCGTCCGCATCATCTGTAGTCTTCCAGGTGGGTAGAAGGTGGGGGGTCAGAAGAAAAGAAAGAAACCAAGCCTTAATTTCCCCTTCTCTGTGTGATTAAAAGGGTTCCTGATGGGGAACTATGCTGGTGTTGAAGTCTGCTCCTCACCTGGGTATCAAAGTGACCAAGAGGCTCTGCACATCTGGACATGGGTTGAGTGGCAATTACCCTTAGGGCTAGCCCAGTGTGGCCTGGCCAGCACAGCTTCTGTCCCCCTCTATACCAAGTGCTGGGAGAGCCCTGGGAGAGTGCCTCAATCTTGTATGCCCCTGCTGCTGGCACAGGCTGCCCCTCTGACAGCCATACAGATACCAGCTGGGTGTATAACCAAGAGCAGGTCACCTGGGCTTAACTGCTTAAAGTGCTGGAAGCTGCTCTGTGGACACCATCGGCCCTTGGGTGGCCCTGGAGTGCCAGAGCTGGTGTTTGCCTTGTTCCACACAGCTGGACTCCAGAAGTCCCCATGGCAAGTACTTAGAGGTGGGCTGAAGGTATTCCTCGCACCAACTCTTGCCAGTGAGGGGCTTCTCTATTACCCAGAGGATAAGAGAGGGGTTCATCTCCCACTGGAGGTCACAGCTTGGGCTCTGCAGGGATGTGGGGATCACTCACATCTATGCCAGTGCTGTTCCCCTAGACCATGGCCCCTTTATCCCAGCAACTCCCCCACTCACAGCCCAGGTACTGTACTTGGAGCTTATTGGTCATCAAGGGCCTCAAAATGGCTCAGAGCTGATTAGCACATGGGGGCTTGCCCTAGTGCATTGTGTGGGCCCTGCTGATCACCCACATGGCAAACTATGCATGGAGCTAACTCCCAAGGTGCTGGAATGCCACTGTGATCACTGGTGACCAAGTGAACCAGGAGTACTGCTCCTCCTCAGGGACAGGCAGCCAGATGCCCTAACACAGCTAACAAGCTTCTTCTGATCTCAGGCCCCTAACCAGATAAAACAGGAGGTCCTGGGGTCAGGGTATCTACCCAGGCTCTCAAACCCTAGAGAGAGAACACAGCTCTTTCTCTCTCTCCTGGGATTTCTTTTCCCATTTATCTAAAGGCAAAGAAAGAGTGCTTATTTGTGTGGACTAATTGAATGTTTATGGGAAAAAACAAACAATCCATTTAGAATAAACACTCTGGAGCAGCTGCTACCTCAAGCTAATGTAAAATGCTCTTTACCCAAGAAAAGGAAAAACCAAATTGACTTGACGTGATCATTTTGTCACATGGCATTGCCAAGACCAGCGAATGGGGGGAGGTTACAGGATGAGAGGCACTTGTGATGTGGGTAGGCAAGGCAGTGGACCGAGGGACCACCACCCTCTAGGGTCAACAAAGGTAGTCATCAGGTTGGGCCAAGGAAACCTGAGGACCCAAACATGGAAGAAGCCAAGCCCTCAGCGCCAACCACTGCCTTTAGTGCTCACAGGTTGTGAGGGGCACACGAGGGGCTGCATCTGTGTACCTGATCTGGGCCTTTGTCGAACATCTTCCGCGTCCGGGGGAACTGGTGGGAGTGAGGGGTGTACTGTGCTCCCGTGGGGCCTGTGGTGCCCGGGCGGCCAGGAGGCAGGTCTCGGTTGACCGGCTGCTTTGCCATGTCATTGGTCAGACTGCAGCTGCTGGTGCTGGATGCCGGAGGGGATCCTCTATGGGGAGAAAGGCAGACAGCAGGCCTTACTGTGGGTCCCCACTAGAAAATGAGACACTAAGCTTCCTTCCACAGGTGGTGCTAGCAGATCCAGGAGTATCTTCAACCACCTGATGCGTTAACAGGACTTCTGAGTGCAGACCACCCTAGCCATCCCTGGCAGGCCCTGAGAAGCATCCTACCCTCAGCTCAAATCCCAGGAGGTGACGAGGACTAACAGGGCCCAGGGCAGATGTGAGGGGAGCCTGGGCTGAGGATGCACACTCACATTCGGGTGAAGTGTGGACCTGATGTGACCCTGCAAAACCTACCCTGTGGTCACCAAGAGAAGAGTAAGGGTATTTGGGCTAACCTCACAAACTGGGCTGAGTTCAGCTTTTGCTATCACACCATGTGCAAATGATGGTTTCTGAGACAGTGGAGGATTCTTGGAAGGCCTCAGATCAGACATATATGGGGGGGGGTGTGGACGAAAGCGGACACAGAAACAGAAAGCCGGGCGGGCAGGCGAGGAGGGAAGAAACAGAGAGGGAAAACAAGACAACAAGGGGGAAGACAGATTGCAGGGAACTGAGCAGCAATGGGAGGAGGCGGCAGTCCACGGGAGACTACTGCAGGAGGCTCGTGCCAGGTCACTCACCCCACAGGTGGATGCACACTTACCCCACCTGGTGGATGTGCATGCCCTTGTTGGTTGGGCTGGCTGGGGCTGACTGCGTCAGAGAAGAGGTATCCAGGATACGCTGAGGACGGGCATTCACTGTGGCCTAAAAGGGCAAAGAACAAGTGACACGGGAGGTCAGGCCACAGAATCAAGAAGCTGATGACTGCTTCTGCATAGCTGCAAAGTGGTAGAATAGGCCTTAGCTAAGGAAATCTCAAATACCAATGAGAGGTGTGGTTTACTCTCTCAGGAATGATTTCCTAGGCCAGACTTTAATGCCCAGAGCTGGAAACAGATCCCCGCATGTGGCTCTCAAGATGCTTTCTGAATGGCCCAAGGCCACTACTTCTTCTTTCCTTTCAAAGAGGCTGCTCCCTGGGCAGCCCCTCGTCCTTCACATGCTGATCCCACACTGTGTTGGATCCTAGACTGCTCTCCCTCCCCTCTTACTGGGAGGCTTGGCTGCGGAGGGCCAGGAGGTGCTGAACCATGGGGTCACTGGATGGCAAGTCACCAGAACACTGCTGTGTAATCATGTTTGGCTCTGGAACGGCCTGTGAAAACTGGAGACAAAGACAGGAGGGGATGGAAGCTGAGGGGAAAAGGACATGTGAGATTTGAGTTCTCTCCTGCAGGGAACGAGCTCTCCTGTCCTGGACTGAGAAAAGTATAATCACCTTCAAACCACCCTCCCTGAGGGGCTGGGAACAGCTCACAGGTCAGTCTCATGCTTAGCACCAGGAAGGGCCTTGGTTCCAGCCCCATGTGTAGCACAGGAGGGTGCTGGCTGTGCCCTGGGAATGTGGATGGTTTATCTCCAGGCAGGGATGACTGAAAACCAGCCCTGGCCTGTGAAGGGGTAGGTTGGGTGACAACCCCTGCCCTTGCAGACCTCTGGTTTCTGTTCTCATTGCTTATGCTCAGGAGCTGCTTAACACTGCTCCTTAAATTGTAGCAAGGTGGATGAAGAGTTGTTTGTGGCTGGGCGTGCTGGCACATGCCTGTAATCCCAGCATGCAGGAGGCTGAAGCAGGAGGATCACCACGAGTTCAGAGCCAGCCTGGGCTACAAAGTGAATTCAAGATTAGCCTGAATCATATAGTGAAACCCTGCCTCACAAAAGACCAAAATAAATAAATAAATAAATAAAAGCTATTTGTTGTGCTGTAAGAGCCCTACAACAAACACTAGTGGGGTTCGAAATCTTTCTAAGGATAGATTTGCACCAAGACTCCACATCCAGGATGGGGGTGGTTTCTTTTGATTTTTAATAGGATTCTATACAGCTCTGGAAACCAGCTGTCTACTGGGATAATAAACAATGAGAAAATGATAAGCAAACAGGAGCACTTGCTGTGTGATGGTCAGCAATAGTTGTGCACCCGCATGGCCCTTGGTGTTCCGCTCCCAGCACATGGAAGGGCTGGCAGGGTCTCTGGTTCTGGATATCTGAGGCTGTGCAGTAAGAGGGGGCCAGGTGGGGCTGAGTGAAGTCTTCCTCTACATCAGGATGATCAAACAGTGGCCCTCTATGCTTAATGGCTGCTGACTCCTCCACTATGGACAGGCCATGAGGCTGCCTTCTAGAAGTCGGAGAAGCTCATGTACCAGAGACCTCAGCCTTGGGGAGCTTCTGTTCTGGAGAACCTGCCCCGGCCTCATGTTCTTAAATTATTCATGAATAATTAGTCAGGAATACTATCCCCTGTAATTCAGCCACCAGACAGAAAGTCAAACAGACCAGCATGGAAGTCTTCACTTATGCACACAGCATCAGTGCTGCCCATGCAACCCCTGGCTTCAGACTGGGAAGGGTAAGAAAAAGGAGCCAAACTGGCTTTCAAACAACATCTCTTATTTTTTAATTACAAGGGAAATACATATTCTTGATGAACTTGCTTTTGCTTTGGTATTTAAAATATTCAGCCAATTCTATAAGCACAAATCTCTCACAAAATGAAAAACCACGATTCCTTAAGTTTAAAAGAAAAAGAAATTTAAACTGTAAGTTTAATATATGATTTCTCAAAACTTCTGGAGAAACAATGGGAGATGATGGGGAAGTCATCAGAAAGTTGTAGGGGTTGAAACGCAGACCTCTACACAACCCACCCCCTCTCTCATGCTCAGGGTATAGGACTTGTGCTGCAGCAGCAACCCAAGAGCCAGCATCTCACAGCCTCAGGTGTCCCCTGCCAGCCACTGCTAGAGCCACTGCCCACTGCCGTGATCCACAGAAGCTCCTTGGGGAAACTGCTGCACAGCCTGCCTGACTCTGAGATGCAGTTTACATCCTGGCTGCCACCACAAGAGTTACTTTGCTTATTCTCAGAAATTCTGACAGGTCTGGACCTGTATGGGCAGGGAGGCAGTCATGAGTGTGGGCTCAGCTCAGTCTGTTGGCACCTCCCCAGAGGTGGCTGTAGGGTAAGGCTCGTGGTGAGCCTGAGCACAGCAGCATTCAGGGAGGGGATCATGAAGAGCTGGGGTCACTATGAGGACTGGGGGTACTGGACAGGGAGTTGGAGTTGGCTCAAGGATAGGCCTTCCTGCATGGTCCCTGTCACGTAGCAAGTAATTTCTGGACAAGTTCAAAACAACACTCATATAGAGGCTGGGTTGGGACATAGACTGAGAAGGACAGCCCAGTGCACAGAGCTGGGGACACTACCCAAACCCTTCTTGATCACGATGATCCATACCTATCACCTAGCACAGAGCATGCACAGAATCACTGGACACACAAGACTGGCTCACCACTACACATCCCCCCAGAAAGGTCCAATGGACATCCCCTTCTGGGGGGTTCAAGCCTTCAGGAGCAAGGGCAGCAGGAAGAGTGAGGACACGGTATCAGGCCAGCTCCTCATGGTGGCAGGCATGGCTTTGCTGAAGTAGAATTTCTGGCAAGACATTTAGCTCAGTGTGAACACAAAGCTCCTTGCAGATGGAGGAGACAGGTAGGTGCACAAAGCATGGACCTTTCACTCACACTTGGAGGTCTCCAGGACCTTTGGCTGTGGTGTGCACACTTCTGGCTCTCCAGACAGACCTTCAAAGGACCTGGAATCCTGCCCAGGGTAGGGAGCTCTAGGAAGTAGCCTCAGGAGGAGCCTCCTTCACAGGCCATTGGCTACCTGTTTGGGTGTGGCAGTGCATTCTGGAAACGTGCTTGTTAATTTTGTATCAGGGCTGTAGAACTACATGTGAGGAGTGGCATTGTTGCCTAATCACTGAGAGGTCCACTATGGCATGATCACTGAGAAGAGACAACTAATACCTACAACTTACATTTCCAAAACAAATATTTGCAGTATTTATTTAGGAAATCCAGAAAAATCCCTTGTCAGGGAAGCAGAAGCACACAGAGTCCTGGTGGGAACAACTTCTTGGCTGCTGCTCCAGAGCTACAGGGCAGATCCCAAGGGGCAGCCTGGGCATCTGTCTGGATGGTTTCTCCAGCAGAGGCTTCTGCATGGAAATCTCACTTGACATGATTAAACAAAACAAAACAAAACTTGTCCTGGGATGGTGGAGAGCTGGGTATTAACGACTGGTTACATGGAACCACTGACTATGCTTTTCTGAGTATCTCAATCTTTATTGCATTGGCCACTCAGGCCTTGGAACATTTCTCCGGTGGTTAAGAACAGTAGTGTTGCTGGGTATCGTGACACATGCCTGTGATCCTAGTACTTGGGAGGCTGAGGCAGGAGAGTCTCTGTGAGCTCAAGGCCAGCCTGGGCTAAGTAGCAAGTTCAAAGCCAGCTTGTAGTCTGTAGTGAGACCCCATCTCAAAAACAAAACAAAACAAACAAACAAACAACAACAACAACAACAAAAAACAGCCAGGGATTTAGCTAAGTGGTATATGCGCCTGCTTGGCAAGCTCGAGGTTATGAGTTCGATCCCCAGTACCAAACAACAACAAACAAGCAAAAACAAAAACCCCTAAAACTCCAAAACAGTACTGTGTACTTTCCAATGTGCATTGCAGATACGACACTGAAGGGATCCAGAGGTGAGTTTACGTGTCTGTGCATTTAGATTTTCTCATAACTTTTCCTCATAACTACTAAAAGAAGAAATGACTGGAACTCTGACAAGAGAACACTTGTGCCTTGAAAACTCAATCCTGTGCATGGTCCTATAAAAGCTCAGCAGTAGGAGATGTGTGGCGAGAGCTGCTGAGGTCGCATGTACTTCCTGGTCATTATTCTCTTCCTCCCACAGGTCTGTGTAGCTTGAGATGAACCAGAGTGGAACCTAACAGCACAATGCAGATGCCAAGGGTTCAGAAACACGATATTAGGCCATAGCTGTTGGGTGTATGGGTTCTCTTCCACAACTGGCAGTACCTCCTGTATGGTATCTGAATGGAGGATTCTAAAGAGTGTTCCATAATAATCAGGCTGCTTTTGACTCTGATGAACAAATCTGGCTTCAGAGCTAACCTAAAATAGGCTCATTTCTGTATACAATGAAATATGATCTCTTTAATTCATAGAGCACAAAGGCATTTCTTGAAATTAAAACGAGGACAAGAAAGGATTTCCTTACTGTTTATGCTCCCAAATCTTTCACTAGCAGTGTTTACTCTTACACACACACACACACACACAGAGGCAGTGCTGTGCTAACTGTAGGTCTCTAGAGGTGGCCCAACCTGGTCTGTCACTGATGGCTGTGTGACGGGGTGTGTGTCACAGATCAGTAGACCACATGCACCTTTTCGAGGGTTCTGGGGCTCATTCAGAATGCACCGTCCCCACAGTAAGTGAGGCCATCATCTCAGGGGTTGTATTTGCTAATGTGGCAGGTCCCACACAGGGGACCGAGTTTCTTAAAGTGGGGGTGGGCCTGGGCTTTGCTAGCTCACAGGGACACACAATGCACAGTCCAAAAGGCTCCAGTGCTGACAGGCTGGGGCTGGCATCTCTTTTACAGAGCAGGGAGAAATGGTTTTGCCCGTCACAGCACAGAGAGATTCCTAAGAGTAACTATTTAACACCCAAGGTTGGATCTATGGCAATGAACTTAGAGCTACTGGAATTAGTATTAGGCACCAGGACTCCAGTGTTAAATAATTCAAGTGGAGTTTAGTAAGGGTAAATATATAAAAGCTACTGCAAAATAAGCCCAAATAGCTGGATCCTGATTTGCCATGACTGAGCTACTCAGGAAGCTGAATTAACTGTGGGCCTCCAGCTGTGCGAGGGGCAGAGGCTGTCCTGTCCTGTACCTCTCACAGCAAAGAAGAGGCCACCAGACACCTTAGTGTGTCAGAGCCCCATGACAGGGACGGAAACTGGCCAGTTTCTGCTGTCTTTGAAAATAAATTCTAGAAGTTTAAACCACTCATTAATGTCCACACAAATAGTGGAGATGTTTTTAGTGAAAATGACTGAAGTACAAGCGATTCTTTAAAATCCAGCATTGGGACAGGGATATAGCGTGGTGGCATAAGGGCCAGCCTGGAAAGCATCAGGTCCTGAGTTTGATTCCTGACATCAAAATTAAAATCAAAAACAAAAACAAAAAAACTCAACTTTGAAACTTTGAACCAAAAATGGAAGAAACTAGTGATAGCCTGAAAGGGCACTGGAAAATGGCAGGAGGCAGTACTGGGGATTAAACACAGGAATTTTCTATCGAACAATGAAAACATTAACTTGACTGGTTGTTTTTTATAGGCCAGTAACACATGAAAGCAAACTCAGTGCTGCCCTGCAGTAAGAATGGGCATCTTTCAGATGTCTCTGCAGCCACTCACACCATCATGAGTTCAGTGGGGAAGCCGAGCAGTCCACTGTGGGATGAAGTCAGGGCAGGACTGGATACCCCACATTGTCCCAAACTGTCAACAGTAAGCCCAACATTTTACTGTTAAGCTGGATATTTTATTGGGCATGGAGGGCAGGGAAATATCTCTGGACCAATAAGTCTATGCTTCTAGGACAGTGTGCCATACACATGACATCTCAAGTTTAAAATTCAGAACTTATTCCATTATTCTTTTGTACTTTAAAGAGAAAGGTGAGTCTGACTGCGGTAGCATTTAAAAACTAAGGGAATAAAGAGGCTTTGTCACTCTATTGTGATACTACCAGGACTGAGGAAGTAACATCCATAGTCAATGAGGTGATTTCAATCAGTCATGGAAGAAACATAATCAGACTAACACAAAATAATTCCAGTGAAGGGACTGAACATCACACAGAAAGGATGTCACCAGACAGGGACTGCTGTAGGGACCTTGGGCTCAATAAGAGGCCAGAGCCAGCCAATGAGAGAGCACTAGAATAGGGCTGAATAACTCAGTGGGGAAAAAACAAGGGACTGGGATGGAAGGCCACAGAGCCTGGCCCCTTCAGCTGTGGTGGACAACTGCTGAGCATGATGGAGTCAGAGGGAAAGCCAGGAATGCCTCTGCCAGGCAAATGTAAGCTATGGTGATATGCTTCTCAAACCTTCTGGCAAGCTGCAAATTTTCTAGTTCCATTAATAAAAGCTGACTATAAAGATAAATTGTACCACTTTGCTAAACAACTAGAAAACCAGAAAAAAACATATGAAGCAAATGTTTTCAGACAATAGATGTTGAGTACTCAGGACTAGAAACCCTGAGAGATAGAAATAAACAACTGACCTAGGCTATAGCCTGCAGGTAGTCCCTGGCTATAGCTCAGAGGAGCAGAACCCAGATAAAGCTGGCACCCTCTAGCAGAGCAGACACAGTCAGCTCCACGGAGGCCAAGGGGCTGGGAACTGCAGGGTGGAGTGTGGGGAGAAGAAAGCTCCCCAAGTCTTCAAGGGATGTCCCACATGTCTCTGATTGACTCTTTTCTGTTCATAGGTGGGGAACAATACACATGAAGCTGGGTAAAGAATTAAGAGCGCATTAGGCCAAATTCCTAGAGCTCACAGAAAGGACCGTGAAGATCTTACAATCCCCAGAGAAAAGACTTATACTTGTATCTAGAAATTAGGGTAAGAGGAACAAATGAAACTCAAAGTAAGCAGAAGGAAAAGGACGTAAAAAAGGTAAAAGCAGCTGTCAACAAAATGAAAAATTTAAAAACAGAGAGGAAGTCCAGTGAAATCAAAGGTGATTCTCTGAGTCTCTATTGGCCAGAAGAGTCAAGAGTGAGAGAAGATGTCAACATTAGTGTCAGACAAGGAGGCAGGGGCATCATCACAGATCATACAGACATGAAGAAGATTGTGAAAAATAACAAAACTGACAACTACAGCTACACATACATACATTTCTAGGTATATGGTTAATATTTAGATTTAAAATGTTTGTGAAAGCTCATCTTATTTATGGATTTTTAAAAACATGGTGTAGACCTGGAGACTTTTGCTTGAATATTCATGATTGAATATCAGAAACTTAAGAGCTTCAACAAAAACATCTCATCACACCTACCTTGTAGGCGATGCTGTTGAGCACTTTCATGGCCAAATCAGAAACATCTGGGTAGGGATCGGCAGCCAGATGCAATAAAACTCTCCAAATTTGAGTGTAAACACTATTAAAAGAAACTCCTAGAAAAAAAGAAATGGAAGATGTTTCAGTAGCAAATAGCTGCTGCTGCATATATGTGCAGCTTCTGGAGTAGCTCAAGTTCATGCAAACCTAATCATAGGAGCAAGAAGCGGGGTTTTAAAGATATGGAGTTAAAGCAAGATCCTTGGTTTGTTATTCTTTTTTTTTTTTGTTTTTGTCTTTTTCGTTTTTATCGGTACCAGGGATCGAACTCACGACTGCCTGCTTGCAAGGCAGGCGCTTATGCTGCTGAGCTAAATCCCCTGGTTTGTTATTCTTGAAAGCGGTTCCCACATTCAGGAATCCTGGCAGTATTCTCAGGCTTGATTACATTGGTCTCATCTATGAGGCTACATCTTTCTAAAAGGAAAACTGGGATAGAAAAGTATAGAATTTGCACTTGGGATGCTCTAGTTGATTGGAGAGGATTATAGTTACCACGGAGCATTTGATTTTATGTTCTAGATTCCCAGTCCCACCACGGCCTATGGTATGTGATCTATGGGGGATTGCAATTCTGTCTGCAGCCCACTCGACACTCAGTGCATGCCACGTGTGCTATGACTTGCTAGGACTCTTTTGCCCGTTCCATACGCTGGCACTGTTCTCAAGTTCCAGGAAGTCAAGAGGTGTATATGATAGGACCACTGCCTCCAAGAGCTCGTAACTCATCCCAAGCATGACTAAAAGTATACTTGACACAAGAGCTTACGCTCATGTCCAGATGCAGAGGCAGGTAACAGAGAAGGGGCTCAGACATCAGCACATCACAGTACACATAGGAGGGAAAGAAAAGAGACACTTGCCAAGGGCCTCACTGAAGGCTGCTCAGTCCTTTTAAATTCTGCAATAATCCTGAAAGCAGGAATTGCCCTGGCATGAAAGGAAGAGGTGAAGCTCAATGAGCGCTTCTGCTGAGGCTCCAAGTGAAGGATGTGAACATGTCTGTCTGACTTTCAAGGTAGTCAGGCATTTCCAGGACATAGTACTGCCCAGGGAAATACTGACATAGGCAGGAGAGGTTCCTTGTGCCAGGAGCAGGGCTAGGAGGTGAAGGCCAGGAAGACAGATGGAGGAAGCTTAAAGGGGGGTAGGCTATAAAGGGGATTCAGGACTGTTCCTCTAGAGGAGAAGGAGTGGAGGGAACAAGGCTGGCAGCACAAGCAAGATCTGAAACCTGGAGGTGACAGAGGCACCTGGAGCCTCTAGAGAACCATGACTAAAACCCAAGAGCCAATCAAGGAGTGCGCGAGTAGCACACTTAGAAACCTAAAAGAGGGATGTGGCTCCCAGACGTGGGTTATATTGATTGAAGCCAGAGAGGAAGCTGCAAAGAGCAGAGGGTGCAGATCTGGGGGCCAAACTACACTGGATATGAGGCAAACAAAGGGATGAAGTGACTCTAGAAGAGGATGTGGTTTGAGCAAAGGCTGCTCAGAAGATGAGAGGAGCCGTATATGGAAAAGCAGAAAAGGCACCAGCGGAGTGCTTGCTCAAGATGTAGACCACTGGAAGCTTCACAAGGGGAGGTAGGGACGACCTGCTTGGGGTCAGGTGGAGATAGCTACATAGAGCTCCAGCCTTTTTATTTTTGGGGAAAGCTGGGCAACGTATTGAAAAGCCTTTGCTTGTTCAACACAGAGACTAGAGTCACAAATCTGTGCCCCTTTCTTGGCCACTTGTGGCATGCTGCCAGAGGACAGAGTGCCTCGGGATGAGCAAAACTATAGTAGAACATGTTTCATGTGAAACAGTCAGGTCCACACACACACACAGACTGGACAAAGACTTAAAGTCAGCTAGGTGCACGAGCTTCACGTGGATGCGTATCTTCATGTTACTTGCCTCTTCACTGGAAGACATGAATGCAGGGCCAAGAGGGCCGTCCCTCGGGCTCACAGCACATGGCCTCCCCACAAGGTCAGTAGGAAGAAGACACATTCTGATGTGTGTTTACAAAAGTCCTCCTGCTATTTCATCATTCTGCTGAATGGGAATCAATAGGTGCTGTCCTTTGAGTAGCTCATCCCCTTGGCCTCTCCTGAGACACAGCTGCCTGTTGTCACTGCTGATTACCCAGAACATGAGACCTAAGAAGGGTATTTCTCTAGGATGGCAGCTCGTGGTCGATATAATGTTCCTGCAAGGGAATGTGTGCCCCCTTCAGGCATGCTCAGCAGCGTCGAGGCCCTTCTGTGTGCCACAGTCTCGCACAGCCGTGCCTCACCTGTAGGAGCCTGGTGGAGCACATATTGGGAGACCAAGGCCCATGGTAAATAAATCTGGACTCGGGTGGGATGAAGGCTACACAGGCCCTTGCCAGCATGGAGGAGGCCCTGCGGCAGTGTGGACAACCATGGTGGGAACTGCGGCCATTTCCAGCTATCTCTGGATGGCTGCAACCCCCAAACAGAGCAGAAACCACTCGACTCACAGTCTGTAGCTCTAAGTAGCTGTCTAGATTTATGACAGATGTATACATAAACTGGTAAAATCAGAGCAGAATCTCTGTGGAAAAATGTCCTCCAATCTAATTTATTCCTGCCCTGGCAGATGCCTGTTCATAGTAACTGTGCTCTACGTTATGGGGACCGGCAGGCAGGAGGAAGTGGCTTCCAATACACTTGTGACAGGCTCCTGATTCACAAGCAACAAGAGGGAAGGAGAAAGTGAGCCAAGTTTCTCTAAGTAGCCTCACTCAGCAAGAAGGGGAGAAGCAGCCCCTCAGTGAAGCTGGAGCTTCCTCCCCACCACCCCACAGGAAGCTCTCAGGGGCCCTGAGAACATCATTTTCTCTCATTATTTTTGGGCTCACAGGTGAATCTGGCCCAGTGACTCATTGCAAGCAGCTTCCTCAGAAGCTCGGTTGTGGTGACGCTGAGTGTGAGAGTGCTGTGATGCTGTAGCACATCTCAGTTTGACTCAGATGCTGAGCCCTCATCACAGGATGAGTGGGGAGGAGGAGACGGGAAGAGGGGAATGGTGCGGGAGCAACTCTAGGAGGCCCCTTCTCAGCAGGGCCCACATCCATCTAATAATTCTGTGCATAGGCAAAGCAGAGGAGCTCCTGAATGGGATGGGAGTTGGGGCACACACTCTAGGAGGCCCCTTCCCATCAGGGCCCACATCCATCTAATAACCCTGTGCACAGGCAAAGCAGAGGAGCTCCCGAATGGAATGGGAGCTTGGGCACGCATGTGGGGCAGGCAGATGCCTAGGGCACTCCCATTCCTCCCTTGGGAGCCATGGACCAAGGCATCAGGTATCAGGTGGGGTGACAGGTACACACCCCTCATGGGAAAGTGCTCTGGAATCAGGAGCTCAGTGGAGCACCAGTAGAAAGGTATGACCCTGTGCAGGGGAAAGAGGAAGGGGGGTATATATTGGCCATTATGATTTATCTTTTTCATTTTACTTTTTACTACTGTGTTGATTTTCTTGCAGACCTTGACTTTGATGTAACACTATGACTCTGTAGAGAACCTTAAAAAATCTAATTTTTTTCCAGTCTCTTCGTATAATTACCAGTAAAAAGCATAAAACTATGATACAGAATCGCTACCTTTTCCCTCACAATCACTGTTTGTTCACAACAATGATTCTCCCAGGGTGACTATTATACAGACTGCTCAGCTCTTAAGTCTGCTGTCCCCAAGTCAGAATGCAGCCACCTCCACGGATGAGTCCACTGGGACGGAGGCAGAGACACCCACATCCTCCCCTCACAGGGAGGGAGGAGCCGGGAACGGCCTGTGTCCGCCACTTGCCACACTCCTGTAAGTGCCACGTCTATGTCGTGTCTAGACTAGAAGTAATAAAAGATCAAATGAATGGCGTACGACTTATTTTCAGAGCAATGGCCACAACTTCCCGTAGAGCACATGCTGCAGGGCACTTCTCAGAGCTCTGAGCACAGGCCCAAGCGAGGGTCCTGCTGGCAGAGTGGCTGGGGAAGGAAGCCTGGCTAGTGGAAAGCTGCGGGCTCTGTCCCCTGGGATGTGCACGGCTGAGAGCCTTCTGTCCTCAGGAGATGGTTCCTGGGGTTTTGCATTTGTTTCTTCCTGGGATGCCTTTCTGTCTCTGGGGACTCCTGGGTGGTCATGGAGTGGACTCCACTCCAGGGTTGTCATGGGCTGTACCTGCAAACAACACCCTGCAGGTGACCATGCTGACCACTCCTCTGACCTCTCTTCTTCCTGTGCAGGCTGGAACTGTGACCTCACTTGTCTCCAGGAGGGAAAAGGCATGTCCTGGTACAGGCAGCGGGTGCATCTGACAATCTTTTCAGCAGTGTTCTTCAGTTTCCCTAAATGATACACTCAATGATTGTCTTTAATCAAAGGCTTTGGTTCTACAAATACAGTTAATCAATCTCATGGCTTTGGAAACAATGCCATTTATTTTATTACTACTATGTTTGTTTTGTTGTTTCTTTGAGACAGGGTCTCACCATGTGGGTCAGGCTGGCCTTGAACTCACAACAATCCTCCTACTGCATCCTCCTAAGTTCTGGGATTTCAGGCATGAACCACCACACCCCACTCTTACTACCTTTTTAAGCAGGAAGAATGAAATCCATGGCACCTTTGATGAGAATGTGTGCAGCTCTCTGGCCATGACCCTGCTTAGCTTTCTTTTTGTGGATCAAGCATTGGGCTGTCTATGAGCAGAGGCAGAAACTGATTCCCTCTATCCTGAGATGCAGATGCAGGTCTCCCCAGACATACTGCTCTGGGCCATGGGCCTCTGTGAAGGCCTGGAAGGCCTCTCCGCTAGAGATTCCGGACACGCTGGCAACAAAAGCAGGAAAGAGGAGGGATCCAGGAGGTAGCTGAGGGCTATTCTGTTAATACTGTCACAGAGGCCTCGGACCTGGTGGCCTCAGATTGGGGCTCTGAGCTCTTTCCTTCCAGCAGTTGCTCTGCATCGTAGACTCTGAGTAAAAACAAAAGGCCTGGATTTGAATGTGGCTCTTCCCTGGCTCCCTGCTTAAGCAATG